GGCCAAAACCGGTCCACTAAAGGGTTCAATCTGGCCCACTTGATGAATTTAGAAAGTGAAAAAAAAAAAAGCAAAAACACTTCATGTTCGTGATGTTTTGTCAAATTACATTTCATTAAATATGAATATTTTCTAAATTGCATTTATTTGTGTAAAAACAAAGGAGAAAAACATGGAGTTGTTGTTGTTATTTATAAGTAATTTTGTTATGACTGTACTGGTCCCGCCCACTTGACGTCTAATAAGGCTTTGGTTTGACACCGCTGGTTTGTGGGCTACAGTACACATTAATGTGGGTCACGTTCCCAAGTAAACACCAAACGACAGACACTAAGAAACTCTCGTCAAAGATAAAGGTTACGGTCGTCAGTAAGATAACTGACTCCGCCTTTTGAGCATTTTGTCCAATCGTCATTAGCAGAGTTTAATAAAGGAAAATATGATCAAATGACACAATAAACACCAAAAAAAATCGAAAAAAAAACATTTAAACACGTACTAATAAACTAAAACTTAAATGTAACCGTAAATACCTGACAATTGTAAACGAATTATTAGACTCGAATTTCCCTTGTAGTCTGCAATTACCACCGATGAACACCAGATGGCGCCAATTCCCATGATATTTGCATTTATTTGTGTAAAAACAAAGGAGAAAAACATGGAGTTGTTGTTGTTATTTATAAGTAATTTTGTTATGACTGTACTGGTCCCGCCCACTTGACGTCTAATAAGGCTTTGGTTTGACACCGCTGGTTTGTGGGCTACAGTACACATTAATGTGGGTCACGTTCCCAAGTAAACACCAAACGACAGACACTAAGAAACTCTCGTCAAAGATAAAGGTTACGGTCGTCACTAAGATAACTGACTCCGCCTTTTGAGCATTTGGTCCAATCGTCATCCAGAAGCTCAGCTTTATGCTTCCGTGGAAATGACGTTTGTTGGGTCATCGATCCAAAAGTTTAGCAGAGTTTAATAAAGGAAAATATGATTAAATGACACAATAAACACCAAAAAAAAATCGAAAAAAAAAGATTTAAACACGTACTAATAAACTAAACTTAAATGTAACCGTAAATATCTGACAATTGTAAACGAATTTTTAGACTCGAATTTCCCTTGTAGTCTGCAATTACCACCGATGAACACCAGATGGCGCCAATTCCCATGATATTTCCAGCTTACCAGAGCACAGAAATTTGGTCTTGAGCCCAGAACCCGCTGCTGCTGCTGCTATTATTTCACCACAGAATGTGTTTTCCCACAAGTTCAAATACATTAAACACGATATGCGTAAAAGTGACGTCATAAACGCACAGTTTACAGTGGAAGAATGTTCATTTATCTGTTTGTGGTTCTGACAGTGTGGTGTAATGATGACTGTTTGTCTTTGACTTGAGTCTCCGTCCTGTTTCACTAACACTCACGGAGTCAGTTCCTACTTCTGCCCTCCTGTCTGGTCTGTAATTATACCCCAGGGCAGAATCACAGCTGTGTCTGTGTGTGTGTCTGTGTGTGTGTGTGTGTCCGGCCTCTTGAACAACAACAAACATCTCTGGACTAACTGACTGGACAGATGTTTCTGTCCTCAGGGACCGGAGCGGTAAATAAGTGTCTTTGAAGACATTGTTCCACAGTGGGTCAAAGGTCAGTGGTGTTTGACCTTCTCTAAGATGGAGTTTCCAGCTGTGGGATTTATTTTAACTTTTGTATCTGTTTGTTTAAACGTCTGGAGGATCCTGTTTAGTGATTATTTTGACAACAGTAACACAAACTTTTTCCCGCTCCCTCGCTCTGCCCCCCGACCCCCCCCTACTCCAAACACACAGTCACATTGAATGGATTTACATTTTTCTCCAGTTGTCTTTTTTCTTTCTTTCTTTTTTTCTTTTTCTTGCACCACCCCCTTCCATTTCCCTGCAGTCAACAGGAAGACTGGAGGCCAGAGAGGAGAGAGGCAGACTCCGCAGGAGAGGAAGGACGCACGGGTCCAGCTGCAGCACCGGGAACAAAGAGACGCATTGAGGCGGCAGAATGAGCAAGACTCAGAAGGAGGTGAAGAAAATCCAGTCGGCCTATCTGCAGAACCTGGAGAAGCTCAACCAGGGCATAAAGCCGGAGAAGAAGAGTTGGAAGACGAAGGAGGGAGACTTTGCTGTTCAGACGGCGATGGAAAAGCTGAGGCAGCCGCCGAGCGCCGGCCCGGTCACCAAGAGTTCAGCCCACAGGATCAGCCGAGACCTGACCTGCTCCATCTGCCTGGACCTCTTCAAGCAGCCCGTGTCTCTGCCCTGCGACCACACCTTCTGTCAGGGCTGCATCGAGGGCTACTGGTCGGGACCCCGCGGCCCCGGCCAGGGGGGCACGGGGTCCTGCCCCCAGTGCAGGAAGGTGTACGCCGGCCAGAGCTACAGACCCAACCGCATCGTGGCCAACATCGTGGAGAGCTACTGCCAGGGCCTGGAGGAGAGCGGACCCGGGGCCCGGCTGCCGGAGGCGGTGGTGGCGGCGGCGGAGGAGAGAGCCCCGGCGCCGGCTCCGGTCCCTCGCTGCAGCAGACACAGAGAGGAGCTGAAGCTGTACTGTGAGGACGACCAGGAGCTGGTGTGTCTGGTGTGCGGGGTCTCCCAGGAGCACAGGAACCACACCATGCTGTGTGTGCAGGAGGCCGAGGGCAAGTACAGGGTGAGTCGGGGGGGTGACACCATCACCAGAGTCCACTTTGATCACTGACACTGAGAGAAAAACACAGACACAGACACAAACCAAAGAAAGTGAACCAGGGTTTGAACCACATCCACAGAAGAAGAGAACATGATGGAGAAAAGTGTATTTAAAAAATGAAGCAATGTGACTTTAATCAAATAATTAAAAAAAAGTCTCAATTTTTGACTTTTAATTCCATGAAGAGAAAAAGTCCAAATGTTGTATTTAAACACTGGAATGTTGAGAGAGGAAAAAAAAAAAAGTTGAAAAGAACTCAAACATTCTGAGGGGAGAGTCTGAACCACATGATTTAAAATCAGATATTTTGAGAACACAGACATGTGAAAAAAAGTTTTAGATTATTATTATTTTCCACACCTTTTTTTTTCAGGCTTCTCTGAACAGCACCATGGATTCTCTTAAAGCCGAGCTCAACACGGCTCTGCAGTGCGACCGAGAGGCCGAGGACGAGGTGAAGAAACTCAAGGTTGGTGGGAAAAAAAATATATTTTTTTTTAAATAATATATAAGTATTTAATGTTAAACTAAAGCCTAAAACAGGGGTTTCAAACCCCTGGCTCGCCTCCCACATCTGGCCCAGAGAAGGTGTCAATCATAGTGAGCTTATTTACTGCAGTGTGCTGACTGAGCAGTAGAGGGCGTGACGACGGACACAGGTGTTTGAAGTTTTTGTTCAAGTAATGAGAAAAATATGAAGACCTCAAATGAATACCCAGTACTGCATTTTGTTACTTCAAAACAGAAGTACTGTGAAGTACCTGCTCACTAAGAAAGTGATAATATGTTTTATGCCCCACATGAGGATAGATTTTTATAATAAATATGCAAAGAATAACTGTTTTAAGACATTAAAAAAAGTTCAAAATGAATAAAAATAAAATGTTCCTTTTATCTGTTTCCGGTTCGATTCCTCCGTCCAGGACCACACGGCTGACCTGAAGCAGCGCATCGAGGCCCAGTTCAGTGACCTCCACCAGTTCCTGTACCAGGAGGAGAAGCTGCTGCAGGTGAAGCTGAAGACGGAGGAGCGTCGGGAGCTGATCCGTCTGGACGAGCACAAGGCGCTGCTGTGCGTGGAGATCTCCCGCCTCCAGAGGGCGGTAAACGAGATAGAGGAGAAGCTGTGGGAGCAGGACTCATTCACACTGCTGAGAGTAAGAAGAAGAAAAAAAAAAAGAATCTGGTTCATCTGGAGGACATTAACACGATGAGTCAGTTTGAGTTGGGGGGAGGAGGGGTGGGGGGGGGGGGGGGGGGGGTGATTAACAGCTGAAATGCTGAGTTCATGGTTTTAAGAGAAAAAACGACACGTGTCTTCTTTTTTAATTTTCTTATATATTAAATCAATGCCGTTGTTTAAGCAGATTCACACCGTCAGGGCGGAGTTTCCTGTTTACGTTGACTCTCAGTCCTTTCATCATCATCATAAATCATACATGATGTCAGTTTGCCAGAAAACCTTTTTTCTAGTAACAGAAGGACTCGTCTGGCAGAGGGAGCCGGCAGGATGCAGGTCAAGCAGGCTCAGCCGCTGATCTGGAGGATAAGGAGTTGAGCGCAGGCTCTGGCTCCGGCCGGGGACTTTCCCCCGGCCACAGGGAGATCCCACAGGGTTGTGTAGCGTGAGCTCAGACGTTGATGTCATGTAGGAAAAAAAAAAAAGAAAAAAAAGTCTTCTGGTCCGATCATTGATACAACCTAGAATCCTAATCCTCGCTCTCTCTCCGTTTTCTCTTTTCCTGTGTTTGTCTTCGCCGTCTCCCTCCAGAGCATCAAAGTTCTCCTCCAGAGGTGAGTGCCAGGAAAAACAGGAAAAACAGGAACATGTACTAACATTCTTCTCCACAGTGGACTTGGTCTTTTATAAGTTTTTTTTTTTTTTTTTTCTGTCTTTTTGTCGTCAGGCCATCGCTGAAGTTTGAGAAACCCGTGTTCACGCCTCACAGCCTGTGCGAGGGTCGGTTTGCGGGGCCGCTGCAGTACCGTGTGTGGAAATCCATGAAAGGAAGCATCTACCCAGGTAGAAGACCATGACTTGACAAAAATGTTATTCGTGAATAATTCAGAGCCGTGTGTCTCAAATAGTGGTTCGGGATCTAAAAGTGGATCATGGGAATGATAATAATAATAATAATAATAATAATAATAGGAATGCATCGTGAATCGGTTAAAAAACTAAACGAATCTGTGACAACTCCAAATAAAAAATGAATCGTGCATCAAGGAAGGAAAGCGAACAGCGCAACTACCAAAAATCAACAGGGGGCAGTGTGTGGGGACGCTGCCATGCGGTGGACTTGAACCTGAAACCTTACGGACGCAAGTCCACGTCAAGGTGTTAGCAGTAGGCTGCGTTATCTCAAAAAGTCACTGGTCATACCATGACATTACACACTCCAGTACAGTAGGTGGCAGTATGCTCGTGAAACTATTGGTTGTGACCCACTATCAAACCCAGACGTCAGGTCCTACGTAGGCTGAGAGACGTTCAGGTGTTGGAACAGAACGTGGGAAGAACTTGTTCCACAGACACCAACAGTGTTCTCCAGTGGAACTCTTTCCACTTCCTGTTTTTTCTCTTCTTCTTCTTCTTCTGTTGTTGTTTCAAATATTGACAGTTAACCAGGTCAACCAGACCAGACCAGTTTGACCAGTTTAACCAGAGCAGATCAATGGTGATGGTCCAGAGTTTCTGGTCCTATTGTTCCATCCCTTGTCCATGATCACTTTGATCCCAGTCCAGTTCAGTGAAGCTTCTTCAACCATGACCAGGTTCTGTTCCGTTCCTGGTCTTCACACCATCTCTGCCTTGTGTTCAGTTCCAGCCGCCATCACCTTTAATTCCAGCACGGCCAACCCCTGGCTCAGCCTCACCTCCTCCCTCACCTGCGTGCGCTACCAGACCTTTAACCACACGGTGGAGGACAACCCCTACCGGTTCAACGCCGCCCTGTCACTGTTGGGAAGTCAGGGCTTCACCCACGGACGCCACTACTGGGAGATCGAAGTCTACAGCAGCACCGTGTGGACCGTGGGCGTGGCCCGAGAGTCGGTGCCCAGAAAGGGAGTCATCAAAGCCCTGCCGGCCAACGGCTTCTGGACCCTCTCCCTGTCTTACGGGATTCAGTACATGGCTGGCACCTCCCCCCCGACGGTGCTGTCCCTGGAGGAGCCGCTGGCCAGGATCGGGGTGTACCTGGACTACAAGAGAGGCCTGGTGTCCTTCTACAACGCCGAGAGCATGACGCATCTGTACACCTTCAGGGAGAACTTCTCTGAAACCCTCTACCCCTACTTCAACCTGGGGTTCCTGGACAAAGTGCATGAAAACGAACCTCTGAAGGTTTTCCTGCCAAAGATTTAACAGTAATTCTTAGACTCCACTGCACACACGCACACACACACACACACACACATACCTGGAGGGTGCTGAAATACCAATCAACAGTGAGGTAAACTAACGAAATCAACGAGGTTCATTTAAAAAAAAATTTTTTTTTGTTGCAATTTTGTAAATAGCTGCTTGTACAATAACAAAGGATTTTTTTAAAAATACATTCCTGCCTTTTCTCCTAATGTAAATGTCACAGTAGCATGTAGTGCTGCCTCGTGACCACCTGTTGGCAGCACCTGAAGTTGTGACGTCACCTGGGTCCAGTTATATGACCAGTCTATACTTTATCCCTGTGGGGATTGCGACATCTCAACTATAGTGCAGTATTTCATGGAAATATAACAGCACCATGTGGTGTTTTTCTAAATATATGTATACAAATATATAAATAAATGCACATATATATAGACATATATTTATATACATATATATAAATAAATACATATAAATATATGTTTATATTTATGTAAATATATTAATATATGTAAATGAATACATATAAATATATATTTATATATTCATATATACATATAATTTTACAATAGCTCCTCTATTAGGAAATATATGGTTTGACTGCGGCTCTTTTTCTGTGAAATTCACTACGAAGGAGAAAAGCTCAAAAATGTGTAAAATGTCATTCAGACTTTTTGGTGCTTAAATGTAAGTGTGTGTTTAAACGCTCGTGTGTTGACGACTGAGTCTGAGTCTTAGACTTTGTTCAGACAAATCACTGCCAGGAATAACCCCCCCCCTCCCCCACTCCCTCCTCCCTCTGGTGCAGGAATCTAAAAAGACCGAACAGGAAAAACCCACTTATTATGTAAGTGTAAACAATTCATACATTCATACAAACAGTATTTTTTTTTTGTATTTGTGTGTCTGTTGTAAATAAGACTGTTGTGTTTGACTGTGAACACACTGTAACGTGGCGTAGACTGGATCTACACCTGAGTTTTTGGAGAAGCTAACGCTTCTGCGTTCGTACACGAACCGTGTAAATGTTTCATAATTTTTTTATATTTTCATTTCTAAACAGTACCTAGTAATCATTCTATAAACCTGACTTTTCGGAGGAATGTAAAGATTTTTGTTTTTGTTTTTTTATTGACGGGTGTCGTATTGTTCTAATGACGGTTTTGATTGTCGTAAATAATTCCGTTTTTTTGACGTAGATCAGTGGTTGTCAAACCTTTTATACTCTGTGCCACCTGCACCGTGTGCGTGGTATGTTTCAGATTTATTCCATTGAAAATGTAAATGTGAAAATATGAATTTCCCCCGCGTACCACTAGAGAGCGCTCACGTACCACCGGTGGGACACGTACCACAGTTTGAGAACCACTGACGTAGCTCATTATTTTACACGCTGCCGTGGTATTCGGCTGCTTGTACTTCCATAAAAATACTTGATCATCATGCAGTAACCCGGCCTTCACCATGAGAGGGCGTTAAAACCTGAGGTGTGTTCAGTGACACTGACCAATAACAACTAGATGTTTGTAAAAAAAAAAAAAAAAAAAAGAAGGAAAACCTTACCTTTAATAAAACTTGAGAAATCATCTTGGCGTCAGTTGATTGTTTGGTCAGCATGAAGTGAAGGGTCAGTTTTCTCAACTGCAGTACTGTAGTTTCACCTGCAGTCCTTCACTGTAAATGAGATCAAACAGACGTCACATTAATGACGAACCTTTCATCTCAACACAGACCAATCAGAGAAGAGATAAATGTTTACCTCCATATTTGTCGTCTCCTTTTTTTTAAAAATTCTGTCCATTCCAGTTAACATCGCAGCGTCTTCTACGTCACCACTGTAAAACAGTCTGAATCAGAGGTTAGTAATATGCAGGTCGCGGCCCAGTTATGGACCCAGATGGTGTGTAATCTGGACATGTACCAAATAAAAAATAAAATTTCATCAGAACATTTTTTTTTTTTGCTTTTATATCGGTAATATTTCTTAAAAATTAAAATCTTAAAAATGTTCGTAAAAAATTAGGTGCCCCTCTTCCCGTTTGATGTTTACCGGCCAATCACAACCGTGCTTCACAGAGAGACTCCACTGTCAGCGAGTGAGAGGAGCCGTGGTTTAACTGAAAGTTAAAGTTACATCAAAGGGTTGGGGTTTCCCCCTAATCACCACCTTGATGGTTTTTCACAGACTGGACCTCAGTAAATTAAAGTTAATTACCCCCCCCCCCCCTTTAAAAGCTGCACAGTGGGTTTTTTTTTACCCCAAATGTCTTAAAACATCAACTCCCGTGGAGACTAACTGTTAACAACCACTGCCAACAGAAAATGGCTCCAAGTTGACAAAGATCTTAAACCCATCTGTCATCGGGACTGCACATTTTTGAGATTAAAAAAAACAAAACAATACAATTTAAGCTAAATGATCCCCCCAAAAATATTTTTTTATAAATGCAATATGTGCATTTCTGAACAATAGAAAAAACTATGGAAACTATAGAGAGAAACTATTTTGAGAATTTTTAGTCCAAATTTTTTTTTAACCACAACAGAAATTTCTCCCTGTATTGTGACCATCCCTGAATCACCAGAGACACTGAGGAGAAGGGGGGGGGGGACAGGGGGGGTCACTAGGTCGATTAACGGATCACAGTCCCTACTAGGGCTCTGGATTTGAACCAGCATCCTCTGACCACCCGGAGCTTCGTCAGTAAAATGACAGGACAGGACACGGAGCAGGAGATTTGTCAACTTCTTTAACCTCTGCCATAAAAAAACAAAAAACACAAAGTTAATAAAACAAAAGCCGACTACGGATCAAGTATCACAGTACACACACGTGGTACGCAGTACATCTGAGGCCAGTGTTAGAACACGATCAGCAGAATAAACACCGCCCACAACAAAAACGATCCCTTTTAAAACCGATGTGTTCAAGCTGTGCAGCCTCACGAGGAGAGAGCGTCACTGAGAGTCTCTCTCTCTCTCTCTCTCTCTCTCACTCAGAGTTTCTGCAGCAGATGTGAATGTGAAGTATGCGTGTTGGTTTTGTGGTATCAGTCCGTGCATTCACTCCTCGTCTGGAGAAGGGCGTGTGCGCCCAAATGCTAGGGGTGAAGTCTCCATTTAGGTTTTTTTTTTTTTTTTTGGGGGGGGGAGGGTGAGAGGGGGGAAAGGTTTTTGAGAGTCACTTGCTCGCGTGTAACGTGTCCTGGAACTTTGTGCTGGTGTAGCGAACATGAAAGCCCTTTTTATTGATGCTGTCATCCGAGTGAAACTTTAAAACGATGGCGTCTCCGGCCGAGTAGACCTCATCTGGAGCCTGGGGGGTCGGGGGGGGGGGAAATAAAAAAAATGTTATTCTGTTAATTGTTGTCGCTGTTTAAGCAGCATTTAAAAAAAAAAAAAAAAACATCACCCCAGATCCACAGTATCGTCCGAGCTGCGGAGACTTGACGTCGGCGCCGTCGTACAGCTCCACGTAGTCGTAGCCGCAGTTGGCCTCCCCCTCGATCTCAAACACTTGGAAGATGATCTCCACGCCGTAGCCCTTCTCCGCAGTGACCACCCACAGGCAGTCGGAGCCACCGGGGTAGTTGTTATCTCCAAACTGAGCATGAGAGAACAGATCCTTTGTCTTGACCTCGGCTCTCAGGCTTCCTCCACATCCTGGTGAAGGCACCACCACAAAATTAGAGGGTCAGAATGAGGAACTCGTTAAAGTGAGGAAAGAATGTCGATTTTTGGGCAACAGACGACGGAGAAGGAACCCATTCTTCAAATACCACATATTTAGAAGTCTACGCTCTCCTCGAGGGACATTCTTTTTTCTTTTTTTTCTTCCAATTAATTGACATATTTTCGGGGAGGCTGCTTCACCCACCTGCTCCGTATGAAACCTCAAAGCCTCTCTTCTGCACCGAGTTGTCTGAGTAAAACCTCAGGAACATCTTGTCGCCACTAGAAATGAGCGGCGACGGTTTCTTGGTGCCACAGAAGCGACCGAGACTCGGAGCGTGGGCGTCCTGTCCGTCGTGGACCTCCAAGTGGTCGTAGGCGCACTCCTGGTGAGACTCCATGTCGATCTCGTTGAAAACCTCGAAAGAAAAAAATAAAATAAAATTAGAGAGTGGAATAAAGTCTCCAAAACCAAATGAGCCACTCGACAAAATACATCAAGAATAAAAAAGGGAGAAAAAAAGGTGACGATAACAGATTCATGTACAGAGAGAATTCAACTGGGAGAAGGAACCTGTGAAAATAAAAACCATAAAGAATTTCCCCAGAAAAATAAAGGTATTGACAAATATAATTTGTGGGTAGAGTACTACAGTACTGCAGTACTACAGTACTCTAACCCAACATGGAGAACACAGGATGGACCAACTGTTGACGA